CGATCAGCTCCGTCGGCGGCGTGGGCAGGCCGGACAGCGCCAGCCCCGGCTTCGACTGCAGCTCGTAGTGCAGCTTGGGGTCGATGGCGTGCGGCAGGTGAGCGAGGCAGTCCATGGGATGCAGGACAACGAGCTTCGTGCGCGGAGTGACTTCGATCTCGCTGGGCTTCGAGACGAAGCTGAGTCGGGGCCGCTGGTCGGGGCGCAGGGCGTCAAACACGCGCTGGCCCTGGGCCTGCCAGCCCGGGTTGGGCGTGGGCTGGTCTTTGGCGTCCAGATGGTCGTATTCGGTGGGATCGATGTTGAAGAGCACGAGGGGCATGTTCCCCGTCGCGAAGGCGTACGACTCGGGGCCCGTCAGCAGGCACGTCCGGGCCAGGCTGTCGCGACTGAGGACTTTGATCCGCGGGCCCTGCACGGGGAAGGTCGTCGACAGCGGAAGATTCTCGGTCATGGCCATCGCCGGGCTCGGGATGGCGTAGACCAGGACCAGGTCGTCCACGTCCGGGTTGTCGATGGCGTACAGGTCCCGGAGCGTGGTGTCCAGCTCGACGGCAGCAGGCCCGATGGAACCCATCGTGAAGAGCACACAACAGTAACAGCGTAGTGATGGCAGAATTGGTCGTATCTGCGAGCAGCCGCTGACGGGCGACGCTATCCAGCGTCTATATAATTATAGTCCGTCCGCAACGAGGCCTGCATTGGCGTCTGGGATAGTGCTGTGGAATGGATGAATGCATGTCTGCCGAGAGATGACAGCGCATGTCAGATTTCCGCCCCCACTAGCCCTAACATTCCAGAGCCCAGAACATGCAATGCAATAGTCTATGCAATGCGTCAGACAGCTGCTCCACAGTCCAGATCTCAGCGGGGAAGCATGCTCAAGTCAGACAAGCTCTCCACCTCAGCTGTCAAAGTCCAGCGCGCCGATAAAATGGACCGGATATAGAGTCCTGCTGCGCTTCGCCTGGATCTCGCTCAGGAAGACGTGCTTTCGTGAGGACTTCTTCTTTTTTCGTCTGCTTTACAACCACCATGCCAGGCATCGCGACGCTTCCCACCACCCAGAAAGCCCTCGTGGCCGGCCCCAAGGGCGAGTTCATCCTCTCGCACGATGCGCCCGTCGCCGAGCTGGAGCCCGACGCCGTCATCATCAAGACGACGGCCGTCGCGCTCAACCCGGTCGACACCAAGATGGTTGGCGACTTCGTGACGCCCGGCGCCATCTTTGGCTTCGACTGCGCCGGCACCGTCGTCGCCGTGGGCAAGGACGTCCACCACCTGAAGCCCGGCGACCGCGTCTGTGGCAGTGCTGATGGCATGGACCGCAACAACCCTCGCGGCGGCGCCTTCGCCGAGTACGTCTCGCTGCTGAGCGACATGACGCTCAAGATCCCGGACTTCATGCCCGACGAGAACGCGGCAGCGCTGGGCACCGCCCTGGCGTCCGGCTGCATGGCCATCTTCCACGCGCTGGGCATCTCGCCGTCGCTGCTCGACGAGCCGGCCAAGGAGGGCTTCCACGTCCTGGTGTACGGAGGCAGTTCGTCGACGGGCACCATGGCCATCCAGCTGCTGAAACTGTAACCTCCTCCTCCCCCAGACTAGTATGCGTGACGACAAATCTGACTGATTGTAGATGCGGCCTCCGACCGATCACGACCTGCTCACCCGGCAAATTCGACTTCGTCAAGTCGTACGGCGCCGAAGAAGCCTTCGACTACAACTCGCCGACCTGCGCCGAGGACATACGCAAGTACACCAAGAACACGCTGGGCTACGCGGTCGACTGCATCACGCAGGAGATGTCGACGCGCATCTGCTACGGCGCCATCGGCCGGGCGGGCGGCCGCTACGCCGCGCTGGACCCTTTCTCCGAGAAGGCCGCCTCGCGCAAGGTCGTCAAGCCCGACTGGATCCTGGCGACGGCCATCACGGGCCGGGGATGCTCGTGGCCGGCGCCGTACGGCCGCGAGGGCAATCCTGCCCTGCGTGAGTTTGGCCGTCCCATCTTCCGCACGCTGCAGCGGCTGCTCAACGAGGGGAAGATCAAGTCGCACCCTCCGCGCGTGAGCGACGGCGGTTTTGAGGATCTGATTAACGGAGTGGGCAAGATCCGCAGGGGTGAAGTGCGTGGTGAGAAGCTGGTTTACCGGGTGTGACGGAGTTGAAATGAACAGAAGAATATCAAGAATATCATCATCTGTAGACTGGGTTTGGTTGATTTGCTCGATTTGAGGACGGACTGTTTATATACAGGTATTTTCTTTGATGTTTTTAGGCTGTTATGCTGTTACGCGTTGCTTTTTCTTTTTCTTTTTTTTTTATGGATGTTGAACTTGATGATTCCGATACATGAATACATTGTGTTCTTGCAACAAATCCGTATCTCAGTATATCCATAGACTTGTAGATATCAATTTCTATGGAAATATATTGAATTTTATTTTTTTTAAAAAAAAGCCTTCTGGTATTATCTAGATCAGACGGGAATTCTATTCTATTCTCTACTCTATATTTTACTGGGTATTTCAAACTACAAAAAAGCATAAAAAAAACTAACATTCTAGACATTTTTCTATATTGTTTAATTTTTTATTCTTTAATTCTTTGGTATAATCCTTCTTTTTTAAAAAAAATTCAAGTTATCGTATTCTACATTACTAGTATTTAGAGTACTAAGAATAGAATATCTATAAATATATGAATATAGTAAATTCAAGTTACTAGTAATTCATTATCGGCTGATTATTATTATTGTTATTATTAGCTGACAGTATTGTCTTCAGGGTCTTACGTACGGTATATCCAACTTGGTTTGAGTAAACTTATCTGCTAGCTAGGTTAGACCGTGCTGACATTCTTCAGACGTCAGTGGATCCAGGGACAATTACAAGGTTTAACATTGCATACTATGCATAACACAAGCTAATCTAATTAATACGAGACTGTACGTACATTAGTCCAAACTTGGCCCTTCCCCACCCGCCGGAGTCTTGCTGACTGCATGTGCATGCACGTATCCTGCATGCCTCGCTGGGCTGGGCTGACCTGCTGACAGAAGGTCCAGACCCGTTGCATTGGGTCCGACGATGGACTGACGACTGACTAGTCGATTTCAGGGCTGACCTTGAGCATGCAGCGTTTTCGGGTTTCCTCGACGTGCTTTTCCTAGATCATGTAGTCGAGTCGAGTTTGGATTGACGAGTTTCTCTGTTGAACTGTCTGCGATAACGACTGCTGCTGCTGCGCTGCAACGGCCGCATTCGATATCATTCTTTTTCTCTTTCTCATTTCAGTCCTTCCTTCTTTCTATTTTGTACACCAATCTTGATTATCTACGCAACCATGGTCAACGGCCTGCAAACCATCACTTTCGTCTCCCTCCTCGGGTCCTGGTCCGCAGTCACCTTTGGCTCCGGATATCTCCCCTACCGGCCAACCTACGTCGGCAGCTTTGTTCTCATCTGGACGATTCTCGGCTTGGGCGCGCTTTTCTACAAGATCTTCATCTACCACCGGTTTTTCTCACCGCTGAGACATCTCCCAGATCCAAAGGTATCTACCTAGGCAATAATTCTTCTACCCGCCGGACGAAGAACTAACGTAGAACAGGGCGGCAGTTTGTGGAATGGACACGCCAAACGCATCTACACTGAAGCAAATGGATTCCCGGCCAGCGACTGGTACGCATGCACGAGAGTAACGAACAACGCGACATGTCAAGACAAGGCTGATTCCGAGCAGGCTCCGCACAACCCCCCATAAGGACATGTTCCGGTATCTGGGCGTGCTGAACAGCGAGCGCATCGTCGTGACGTCCCCCGAGGCCCTGGCCGAAGTCTGCTCGCGCAACTACGACTTCCCCAAGTCGCGCCAGGCGACGTTCGTCGCGGGCGAGCTGCTGGGCCGCGGCCTGGTCCTGACTGATGGCGACGAGCACAAGCGCCAGCGCAAGATGCTGCTGCCGTCCTTTGCCAGCAAGCACATCAAGGCGCTGTACCCGGTCTACTGGAGCAAGGCCAAGGAGGTCACGGCCAAACTGACCGCCATTGCCCGCAGCGATGCCTCCGGTGAAGGCGCCGCCGTCGAGATCGGCGAGTGGGCGTCGCGCGCGGCGCTGGACGTCATCACGCTGGCCGCGCTGGGCCTCGACTTTGGGGCCATCAAGGACCCGCAGACGCCGCTCAACCGCACGTACCGCATGGTGTTCGAGCCGACGCGCATGTTCCAGTTCTTCTCGCTGCTGAAGCTGGTGATCCCGTCGTGGATCGTGCACCGCATCCCGCTCAAGCGCAACCTGGAGGTCATGAAGGCGGTGCGCGACATTAAGGAGACGTGTCGCCAGCTGGTGCGGTCCAAGCGGGCGGAGATCGCCAGCGAGAAGCCGCCGCGCAAGGACCTGCTCAGCCTGGTGCTGCAGAGCGAGAACCTGACCGAGGGCGAGGCGGTCGACCAGATGATGACCTTCCTGGCGGCGGGCCACGAGACGGTGTCGGTGGCCATCACCTGGGCTATCTACATGCTGTGCAAGTACCCGGAGTACCAGAGCCGGCTGCGCGCCGAGGTGCGCGAGCTGCTGCCCAGCCCGGACGTCGAGCTGAGCGACGGCGAGACGCCTGCAGATCTTGACAGGGCAGTGCAGCTGACAGCCTTCTGCAACGAGGTGCTGCGATACTGGCCGCCGATCCCGCTGACGGCGCGCGAGGCAGCGGAGGACACGACGCTGTGCGGACAGTTCATCCCCAAGGGCACCAAGATCATCCTGACGATCGTCGGCACGAACCGCGACGAGCGGCTGTGGGGGAAGGACGCGCGCGAGTTCCGGCCAGAGCGCTGGCTGACGGCGGAGGGCAAGCTGGACGCGACGGGCGGCGCGGTCAGCAAGTACGCCAACATGACCTTCAACCACGGGCCTCGCATGTGCATCGGCCAGGGCTTCGCGCGCGCGGAGATGGCGTACATCCTGGCCGCCTGGATCGGGCGGTTTGAGTTTGCTCTGGTGAACGAGGCGGATCGCGACGAGAGCAAGATCAAGATCTCTGGCGGAGGATTCTCAGCGAAGCCGGCGGATGGATTGTGGGTGAAGATGAGGGCGGTGGATGGGTGGTAGTTCGATATTTGTTTGAGGTGTATCTTTCTTTCCTTTCGTTTCCTCTCTCCTTTCTTTATGCTTGTTCCGAACGCTATGAATACAGACGGTTATCGTAAATAAACAGAGACAGACATGCAATAGAGTTGATTTTATTTATTTACTCATTTATTTTTCTTTTTATTTTCGTATGGTTTTGAATTTGTCGAGCGTTGTGTAGATATTCCTTGCATCCAAGTGGGTGCGGTGGACAAATTATATACATTCACATATATATCCACATATAGTACCAGTCCTTTCAGATCTTATCCAGGACAGCATGTTCGAATAAGAGAGGTAGATACAGATAATGAAATCCTTTTCAGATACTCATTTTTAAATTAAACACCACCATGATAAGGTATATGAACGTGTGCCTGGTGCAATAATAATGGTATTCTACATACATTATTGTACTCCATCAAGTGCATGATAATTATTATAGGATTACATAATATAGCTGTTAATCAAGACTAATGTTATTAATTTAATGTCATTAATTGATGCTAATTACCATCTATCTGCGATCTATCTTCAGGTTGGATCGTAAAATTCCCCGAGTTGAGTGTTGAATAGGGCACGATAAACACGTGGCCACTAACCGCATCGGGCTGTCAGATGCATGTCAGACGATCTGACACGATCTGATAATCTGACATCTGACAGCGCTAACAAACTCGCTAAACACTAGCTAACGAGTCACTAACAAGTTTCTAATGACAGCCTCTTGCATGCCTCGTGCCTTAGGCTGTCTAGTGGGTTTCCAGGCTTCTGGAAGACTTCGGACGCTGGGGGCCAAGCTGCTGCGTGCAGGACCACGTGCGGCCAAAGCATCCCCAGAAACCTACAAAGTTCCCCAAAAAGAAACATTTCGTAAACTAAGCTTGCTGGCTGCGTGGTGGTTGGCCGGGGGATGGCTCTTGCGATCGCGGTCGAGAATATTGGCACATGTCAGATTCGCCACGGTGATCCATGGCCATACAATTCATATACTGCCAGCATGTCGCTCTCCCTGCGAGGTTCTGGACTCCGCATTCAACCTGCCGGGCTCGATCGAACCTGCTGGCTGCCAGAGAACTCCCTTCCTTCTATCGCTGTCCTTGTCCTGATTTCATCCTTTGTTCATCTCTTGCACATTTCTATAGACTTTTCGTTTCTTGCAGACAGACTTGCAGACATTCGCAGACAGACTTCGGAACTCCGAACAGCAGACATCCACAGACATCAAGCAGACATTCAACATCCAACATCCAGATATCCAACATCCACACAATCTACAGACATCAACAGAATCCATTCTTGCATATCCATTCTAGCTGTCTTTCACCATGGTCGCCATCGCCAACGAGCCCATCGCCGTCATCGGAAGCGCCTGTCGCTTCGCCGGCGACTCGACGTCGCCCTCCAAGCTCTGGCAGCTTCTGCGGCAGCCTCGCGAGGAGCGCAAGAAGATCGAGCGCTTTGGTGCTGATGGCCATTACCACCCGGACGGCCATCACCACGGCACTAGCAACGTGCGGCATGCGTACTTCATCAACCAGGATCCGCGCGTGTTCGACTCGCAGTTCTTCAGCATCTCCGCGTCCGAGGCCGACGCCATCGACCCGCAGCAGCGTATGCTGCTCGAGACCATTTACGAGTCCATCGAGGCCGCCGGCCTGAGCCTCGAAGGCCTGCAGGGCTCCCAGACCGCCGTCTACGTCGGCACTATGACCGACGACTACGCCGAGCTGATGCACCATGACACCGAGGCCATCCCGACGTACGCGGCCACTGGAAGCTCCCGCAGCATCATTGCAAACCGCATCTCCTACTTCTTCGACTGGCACGGCCCGTCCATGTCCATTGACACGGCCTGCTCGTCCAGTCTGGTCGCCGTCCACCAGGCCGTCCAGACGCTGCGCAAGGGCGAGTCGCCGGTCGCCGTCGCCGCCGGATCGAACCTCATCTTCGGACCCAAGATGTTTATTGCCGAGAGCAACCTGAACATGCTCTCCCCCAACGGCCGCTCTCGCATGTGGGACGCCGATGCCGACGGCTACGCGCGCGGTGAAGGTATCGCGGCCATCCTCATGAAGCCGCTGAGCGCCGCCATCGCTGACGGCGACCACATCGAGTGCATCATCCGCGAGACAGGCGTGAACCAGGACGGCCGCACGCCCGGTATCACGATGCCCAGCTCGACCGCGCAGACGAATCTCATCCGCGACACGTACGCGCGAGCCGGCCTGGACCTGCGCCGCAAGTCCGACCGTCCGCAGTACTTCGAGGCGCACGGCACCGGCACCAAGGCCGGCGACCCTCAGGAGGCCCGCGCCATCTTCAACGCCTTCTTCGGCGGCGAGGACGGCGCCGACGAGGACGACGTGCTCTACGTCGGCTCGATCAAGACCGTCGTCGGCCACACGGAGGGCACGGCCGGTCTCGCCGGTCTGCTGAAGGCCTCGCTGGCCATCCAGAACAAGACCGTGCCTCCCAACTTGCACTTCAACCGTCTCAACCCGGATATCACGCCGTACTACGGAAAGCTCCAGATCCTGACAGAAGCGAAACCGTGGCCAGAGCTGCCGCCGGGTATTCCGCGGAGAGTTAGCGTGAACAGCTTCGGTGAGTACTCCGTCAAGTCTAGTACTGTTATTATTACTGCTGACACAACTCAGGTTTTGGTGGCACCAACGCGCATGCGATTATCGAGAGCTACGAGCCTGAATACCACGACGTCAAGCAGGAGAAAGCCATCGCCGCTGCTCCCCTGGTCTTCTCAGCCACGACAGAGCGCTCCCTGGGCGCCATGCTCAACGCCTATCTGCCATTTCTGGCGGCCAACCCCGACATCGACATGCGGTCGCTGGCCTGGACTCTCGCTCGACGATCCGCATTTCCGATCCGCATCTCGTTCCCTGCCGTCCAGAGCGCCGCCGATCTCCGGGCCAAGATCGAGGCCAAACTCGAGGAGAAGCAGTCCGGCCCCATTGGCACCAGGGCCATCACCAAGACCAAGGGCATCCTGGGCGTCTTCACCGGCCAGGGCGCCCAGTGGCCGGCCATGGGACGGGCGCTGATCACGACCTCCCCCGTCGCCGAAGCCATCATCGACCAGCTGGAGCAGTCGCTGGCCGAGCTGCCTGAGGCGGATCGTCCATCCTGGTCGCTCAAGAAGGAGCTGCTGGCCTCCAAAGACACCTCGCGCATTGGCGAGGGCCTCATCTCGCAGCCGCTCTGCACCGCCGTCCAGGTGATGCTGGTCGACCTCCTCCGGCGCGTGGGCATCGACTTCGTCGCCGTCGTCGGCCACTCCAGCGGTGAAATCGCTGCAGCGTATGCGGCCGGCTTCCTCACTGCTCGCGATGCCATCCGCGTGGCCTACTACCGCGGTCTGTACACCAAGCTGGCTCGCGGCCCCTCGGGACAGCGCGGTGCCATGATGGCCGCCGGCACTTCGATGGAAGACGCCGAGGAGCTCTGCGACCTGCCCACGTTCAAGGGCCGGCTGTGCGTGGCCGCCAGCAACTCGTCGGCCAGCGTGACGCTCTCCGGCGACGCGGATGCCATCGAACACGCCAAGCTGATCCTCGAGGACGAGCAGAAGTTCGCCCGCGCCCTCAAGGTCGACACGGCCTACCACTCGCACCACATGCAGCCCTGCTCGGAGCCCTACATCCGCGCGCTCGAGGCCTGCAACGTCCAGATTCAGACGCCGTCCGAGTCGGCACCGAAATGGTTCTCGTCCGTGCTCGGCGGTCCAGTCGTGGACGCCAGCATGAGCGACGCCCTCAGGGCCGTCTACTGGAGCGACAACATGCTTAAGCCGGTGCTCTTCTCGCAGGCGCTGCAGACGGCTCTCTCCGAGATTGCCACTCCGGCCATCGCCCTCGAAGTCGGTCCGCACCCGGCGCTCAAGGGCCCTGCCAGCCTGACCATCGAGGAGCGCATCAAGGACGGTCTGCCGTACTCGGGCGTGCTGAACCGCGGCGGCAACGACTGCGAGGCCTTCTCCAGCGCGATCGGCTTTGTCTGGAACAATCTTGGTCCGGCGGTGGTCAACTTCGCCGCATACGATGCCCTCTTCAACAACAGCCCGCTGCCCACCCCGTTGAAGGACCTCCCGACATATCCCTGGGACCACGAGCGCAAGTTCTGGAGCGAGTCGCGCTCGTCGAGGATCTCTCGTGCCCGGGAGACGCCGACGCACGAACTGCTGGGCGTCCGATCGCCCGACGATGTCGAGGGCGAGTACACCTGGCGCAACTATCTCAAGCCGGCCGAGATGCCCTGGCTGCGCGGCCACCAGATCGAGGGCCAGGTGCTGTTCCCGGGCGCCGGATTCGTCATCATGTGCGTGGAGGCCACCAAGGTGCTGGCGCCGGTCGACAGCGTGCGCCTGATCGAGGTGTACGACGCAGTGATCCACCGGGCCCTGTCCATCTACGACGAGGTGGCCGGCGTCGAGGTCATCGTGAAGCTGGCCAACGTCCACAACGAGCAGCACGGCGACGAGAAGTGCATCGCCGCCGACTTCTCCTGCTCCGCCTGTCCCAACAAGGACTCGGGGAACTTCACCACCATGTGCTCCGGGCGCGTCAAGATCTTCCTGGGCGAGTCCTCGCTGCTGACGCTACCGCAGCGTCCGCCGCCGCTGCCCAATATGAGCGACGTCGACGTCGAGCTCTTCTACAGCTCGCTGAACGAGCTCGGCTACAACTACACCGACATGTTCAAGGGCATCACCACCCTGCGCCGCTCCACCGACGCCGCCAGCGGCATCATCCACATCCCGGACAGCCTGCCCCAGCCGCCCGAGTGCATGTTCCATCCATCCACCCTGGACGTCGCCTTCCAGTCCGTCCTGGCGGCCGTCGGGGTGCCCGGACGACTCTGGTCGCTGCACGTCCCCATGAAGATGGACCGGCTGCGTCTCAACCCGCTGGCCTGTCCGGACCGTGCCGGCGTCGGCGTGGACCTGCACTTCGACGCGACCCTGCTGTCGTTCAACTTTGCCAGGGGTCTGTACGGCGACGTCGATGTCTACGACGAGACGGGCTGCTACCCCATCCTGCAGGTCGAGGGTCTCCACGTCGCCCCCATCGCCGCGGCCACGCGCGAGCACGACCGCCAGGTCTTTGCCAAAACGGTCTGGGAGGTCGCGGAGCCGGATGCCGAAGACGGCTTTGTTGAGTATACCCCGAGCGCCTCGGAAGAGGCCCAGTCCCTTCTCATGGAACGCGTGTGTCTGTTCTATCTGCGGAAACTACTAAACCAGGAGATTACAGGTGAAGAAAGCGACGAGCATCGTACGAATCTGTTGGCATGGGCTGCCAACGCAGTCGAACGCACGTCTCGCGGCAAGCACCCGACGTGCCAGAAGCAGTGGCTCGACGACACCTACGAAGATATCCGGTCCCAACTTGCCCAGTTTGGCGCCTCCTCCGATCTGAATGGCCTGGTGGCTGCGGGCGAGCGGCTCCTGCGCTTCGTCAAGGGCGAGTCCCTCGACAGCGAGGAGAAAAAGGCCGTCCTAGAGGCGGCGCAGCGCTTCCACGCCGCTCTGCCCGGCTTCGCGACATACCAGAACCACCTGGGCCGCATCGTGCGCCAGATCGCGCACCGCTATCCGCACATGGAGATCCTCGAGGTGGGCGCCGGCCTCGCCAGCGTCGCGCCGGCTGTCCTGGGCCAGCTCGAGAACTACTACCTGTCATACACGTATGCCGACACGACGGATGCGCCCTTCGACGCCGCCCAGTCCTCGTTCAAGGAGCAAGCCAGCAAGCTGTCCTACAAGCCGTTTGACCTGAAGCAGGACCCGGCGGAGCAGGAGTTCGTCGAGCGCTCCTACGACCTGATCATCGTGTCCAACGCGCTCTACGCGAGCGAATCCGTCATGCAGACCCTCCAGAACCTGCGCCGTCTGCTGAAGCCCGGCGGCTATCTCGCGCTGCTCGAAGTCACCAACGACGAGCTGCTCCAGACGAAGTTCGTCGTTGCGGCCGCTCCGCAGTGGTGGACGGCCGCTGCGGGCAGCGATGAGGACAGTCTTCGCCCCTGGTCGCAGACGACGTGGGATGCGTTGCTGCAGCAGACCGGCTTCTCGGGCGTCGACACCTCCACGCCCGAAACCGACGCGCCCTTCTCAGTCATCGTCAGCCAGGCTGTGGATACACAGATGAGTCTCCTCCGGCGGCCGCTGGCGCCCTCGGACGCGTCGGTGACCATCGACGACCTGCTCATTCTCGGCGGCCAGACGCTGGCCACGCTGCGGCTTGCGAAGGAGCTCAAGGAGCTGCTCGAGCCGTTCTGCAACAACCTGATCACCGTGAAGAGTCTGGAGAAACTCGACGCGTCGATGATCCCCGGCCGGGTGACGGTCCTCAGCCTGACGGAGCTGGACGCTCCTGTGTTCAAGCCGTTCACGCCGGAGAAGCTCAAGGCGACGCAGATCCTGCTGGACAACGCCCGGAACGTGCTCTGGGTGACCAGCGGCAGCGAGGGCGAGCAGCCGTTCGCCAACATGATGATCGCGATTGCGCGGTGTCTGATCCACGAGATGCCCGACCTGCGCTTCCAGAGCTTCGACGTGGGCACATCCGACAAGCCCAATGCCCGCCAGCTGGCTGAGGCCCTGCTGAGGATCCAGATCTCGGGCAGCTGGAAGAGCGCGAACGACCGCCTGTGGACCTTTGAGCGCGAGCTGGCCATCATGGACGGCAAGGTCATGATCCCCCGATACACCGGCGACGACGAGCCCAACGACCGCTTCAACTCGTTCAAGCGCCTGATCCGCAAGGACGTGTCTCTCGACCAGTCCGTCGTGGCCATCACCGCGGGCAAGAACAAGTACGACCTGCTCGAGTACAAGCCGGCTCTGCCTGCTGCTGCGCCGGCCGGCAACGACAACACGGTGACGGTGGACGTGATCCGCTCCATCTTGACTGCCTTCCACGTCCCGTCCGTTGGATATCTTCACCTGGTCGAAGGTGTGGATTCCCAGACCCAGGAGAAGGTCCTTGCGTTCTCCAACCACCACCGCTCCTCTATCACGGTGCCTCGAAGCTGGACTGTCCGGGCCACGCACGCCGAGGACCATGGCGCCCGGCTGCTGCAGGCCATGGCCACCGATCTCCTGGCCGGCTTCATTCTCGGCGACGCCACGAACGGCGACAAGGTGCTCGTCCACGAGCCTACGGCGGCACTCGCGTCGGCGCTGAAGCGACAGGCCGACGAGACCGGCTCGCTGCTGGCGTTCACGACGTCGCGCACGGAGGACTCTGAGTTCCAGTACATCCATCCGTCGGTGCCGGACCGCGTTATCGACTACTGCATGCCCAAGGACGTGTCCATCTTCGTGAACCTGTCGGGCGAGGTCGAGGTCGAGTCGCCTGCCATGCGCATCGCCCAGTATCTGTCCAAGAAGTGTGACAAGAAGGACGTCAACAAGCTGTCCAGCCCGCACGCCTTCAAGCGGGCTGGCGCTCGCTCCGAAGTCGTCGCGAACCTGCTGCAGAAGACGTACGCCCGCGCCGTCGCAGAATTGTCGACCCCGGATCTGTACGGCTGCGTGGACGAGATCACGCTGAAGGACGTCCTGGACCGCTCGACGGCGGAGCAGCAACAGCAGCCGCAGTTCGAGATCGTCAACTGGAAGGCCACTGCCACCGCGCCCGTTCGCGTGCGATGCGCCGAGGAGGAGGTCGAGTTCCGGCCTGACCGGACGTACTTCCTCGTCGGAATGACTGGCGAGCTGGGTCTGTCGCTGACCCAGTGGATGGTCAGCAGGGGAGCGAGATATTTTGCTCTCACCAGCCGCAATCCCAAGATCAACCCGGACTGGATCGAGATGATGGAGACGAAGGGTGCCATCATCAAGACTTTCGCCATGTAAGTTCCGCATATCAAACTGACTGATGCAGCGCTGATCTCTTGCAGGGACGTCACGGACAAAGCCTCGATCCTCAAGGTCCACCAGACCATTCGCGAGACTATGCCTCCCATCGCCGGTGTAGCCAACGCAGCCATGGTCATCGCAGACGGCATCTTCACCAACATCCCGTACGAGACCATGTACAGCTCGCTGGCGCCCAAGGTCGACGGCAGTCTGTACCTGGACGAGATCTTCTCGACCAACGACGACCTGGACTTCTTCATCCTGTTCTCGTCCATCACGTCCATTACCGGCAACGTCGGCCAGAGCAGCTACACAGCGGCCAACGCGTTCATGACCAGTCTGGCCAAGGGACGACGCAAGCGCGGCCTCGTCGGCAGTGTCATGAACCTGGCAGGCATCTTCGGCCTGGGCTATGTCACTCGCGCCGCCAAGGGCGTCCTCGACCGCCTCATCGCCCTGGGATTCTCCAACATCTGCGAATGGGACTTCCATCAGAACTTCGCCGAGGCTGTGCTGGCTGGCCATCCGGACTCTGGCCGCAGCCCCGAGCTATCCGCCGGTCTGGCTGTCTACGACGTCGAGAAGGACGCCAATGTCCCTGTCTGGGTCCAGATCCCCAAGTTCGCTAGATACAGGCGCCTCCGCACCCAGGGAGGATCCAGCGCCTCTGCAGGCGAGTCCCAGATCTCGATCAGGGCTCAGCTGCGCGAGCAAACGACCGAGGAGGGTGTTCGTCAAGTGCTACTCGGTAAGTTCCAACCTGAAAAAGTAGGGCTTAGTGCTAACAATCGCAGACGGATTGCTTTCTACTCTGCACAAGACCCTGCACATGTCCGCCGAGGACACCATCTCGCCCGATTCCACCATCGTCGAGCTGGGCGTCGACTCGCTGGTCGCCGTCGACATGCGGGCCTGGTTCAGCAACGAGCTCGACCTCGACATGCCCGTTCTCAAGCTCCTCGGCGGTGCCACCATCGCCGATCTGGTCGACGACGCCGTCAGCAGGCTCTCGCGCGAGCTCATTCCCAACGTCGTCGCCGGCCAGGCTGAGGGCGAGCCTGCGTCTGAGGAAGCCCCGGCCGCTGCTGCGTCTGCCGAGCCGGAGAAGAGCAGCGATGAATCCTCGACCGAGGAGGAAGATTCGACCAATGTCTCGGAATTCGCGTCCACGCCGCCCACTGGGTTTGTGTCCCAGACGCCCAGCTCGCAGACGTCCGAGGAAGACATCGAGCCCAAGGACCTTTCGGCGGCCGTGGCCCCCAAGCTGGCTTACCAGCGGACGACCAAGATGGGCTACGGTTCCACGCGCTTCTGGTTCCTGAGGCAGTACATGCAGGACCAGACCACCTTCAACTGCGTCTTCAAGTTCACGCTGACGGGCCCGATCCGTGATAACGACGCCGATCGCGCCGTCAAGGCCATCGCCCAGCGCCACGAGGCGTTCCGGACGGCCTTCTTCGCCAACGCGGACCAGATGAACGAGCCCACGCAGGGCGTCCTGCCCGAGTCGCTGCTCCAGCTGGAGCGCAAGAAGATCGACGACGAGGCGCAGGTGGCCGAGGAGTACGAGGCGCTGCTCAACTACGAGTTCGACCTCGAGCGCGGCGAGACGGTGCGCATCGTGCTGCTGTCGCTGTCGCCGCTGAAGCACTTCCTGATCTTCTGCCACCACCACATCGCCATGGACGGCTTCAGCTTCAACATCCTGCTCGACGAGCTGAACAGGCTGTACTCGGGCCAGACGCTGCCGCCCGTCAGCCTGCAGTTCACCGACTTTGTCGAGCGCCAGCGCGCCCTGGTCGAGAGCGGCGCCATGGCCAAGGACCTCGAGTTCTGGCGCAACGAGTTCGCCGAGTTCCCTGACCCTCTGCCGCTGTTCCCCGTGGCCAAGGTGAGCTCGCGCAGCCCGCTGACGACGTACGCCTTCGAGCAGGCGCACGAGATCCTCGACGCAGCGACTGCCGCGCGCATCCGGGACCAGGCTCGCAGACAGAAGTCCACCACGTTCCACTTCTTCCTGGCTGTGCTCAAGGTCTTCCTATTCCGGTTCCTCGATATCGACAAGGTCTGCATCGGTGTGGCTGACGCCGGCCGCGGCGATACCGACACCATCGGCACCATCGGATTCCTGCTGAACCTGCTGCCCTTGCAGTTCAAGGCCAATGCCGGCCAGAAATTCGGCGACGCCGTCAGGGAGGCGCGCGACAAGGCCTACGCCGCGCTGGGTCACTCCAAGCTGCCTTTCGACGTCCTCCTCGAGGAGCTCGACGTGCCCCGTTCGTCCAGCTACACGCCCATGTTCCAGGTCTTCATGGACTACCGCCAGATCGCCATCTCGAGCCCCAAGGTGCTCGGCACCAAGGCCGATGCCACCTCTTCGCCCGGCCGGACTGCCTATGACCTGATCCTGGATATCCGCGATGTTGCGGGCTCGGGCGTGAACATCGGCTTCCGGACTCAGAAGTCCCTCTACTCCCAGGAAGCCACCGAGCTGCTGTTCAAGAGCTACATGCGCCTGGTGCGGTACTTCGCGTCCAACCCTGCTGCGGAGGTGAACAAGGCTCCGCTGTTTGACGCGGCGGATATCGACGCTGCGGTGAAGCTTGGTCGAGGTAAGTATATTCCAGACATAGAATTGACAGAAACATGGCTGATACATGGCTCACATACAGGCCAACTCATGACCTCCGCCTGGCCTGCAACCATCTCCGAGCGCATCGAGAGTGTTGCTCGCGACAACGCCGGTGCGCTCGCTCTCAAGGACGGTGTGGGCAACGCCCTGACATACACTGCCATGACTGAGCGTGTCGACGCCATAGGCTCTGCCCTGCTTGATGCTGGTGTCGCTCAAGGCTCCAGGGTCGCTGTCTTCCAGGAACCAACGGCCGACTGGGTCTGCACCATGCTCGCCATCTGGAAGGTTGGCGGCGTCTACGTCCCTCTGGAACTCACCAACTCGCTCCCTCGCCTGGCCAGCATCGTCGACGACTGCATGCCCGAGGTCATCGTGTGCCATGACGCCACGGCCGCGGACGTTCCGGCCCTGAACGCCGAGTCTGCGAAAACTATCAACGTTTCTTCCTTGACCACGCCGGCGCAGCGTGAACTTGCCAACAGCTCGAGACCCGAAGACCCTGCAGTCATCCTCTACACCAGCGGGTCGACGGGCAAGCCCAAGGGCATTGTCCTCCGCCACTCAAGCATCCGCAACGAGATGGAAGGCTACAGCAAGCAGTGGCAGATCGGCCAGGAGGTCGTCCTGCAGCAGAGCGCCTACACGTTCGACTTCTCGCTGGACCAGATGCTGGCCGGTCTGTCCAACGGCGGCACCGTCTACGTCGTGCCCAAGTCTGACCGGCGCGATCCGGTCAAGATTGCTGCCCTGATCGCCGCTGAGAACATCACCTACACAAAGGCGACGCCGTCCGAGTACTCGAGCTGGATTCAGCACGGCTCTGCCTCGCTCACCAACGCCAAACAGTGGCGATTCGCCTTTGGCGGCGGCGAGCCCTTGACCGATAGCCTGAAGCGAGAGTTCCGCTCGCTGAACAACCCGGACCTGCGGCTCATGAACTCCTACGGCCCTGGCGAGATCACCATCTCCTGCACGAAGGCTCCCATCCCCTACCACAGCGACGACGACTACTCCGGAAAGCCAAATCCCCTGGGCTCCCCGCTGCCCAACTATGCCATGTACGTGGTCGACAAGAACCTGGACCTGGTGCCTGCCGGCGTCACCGGTGAGATCGTCATTGGCGGTCTGGGACCAGCGATCGGATACCTAAACAACGAGGAGCTGACGCGCGCCAAATTCATCCCGGACGTCTACTCTCCGCCGGAGCTGAGGGCCAACGGCTGGACGACCGTGTACCGCAGCGGCGATCTGGGCCGCCTGCAGCCGGACGGAACGTTTGTCTTCCACGGCCGCACCGACGGCGACTCCCAGGTCAAGCTGCGCGGCATCCGGATCGAGCTGGAGGACATTGAGAGCAGCATCATCCAGGCCGCTGGCGGTGCGGTGACGCGCGCCGTGGCGTCTGTTCGTGGAGAGCCGCAGTTCCTCGTGGCTCACGTCGAGTTTGCCGACAACTTCCCAGAGGCTGACAAGGCCAAATTCGCAAAGCAGCTCATCGCCCGTCTCCCGCTGCCGCAGTACATGCGGCCCGCCATGATCATCCCGCTGGACGCCATCCCCCTGAATAGCCACTCGAAGATCGACCGGCTGGCGATCAAGAATCTGCCCTTGCCAGAGGCCACCGCGAGCGCATCCGACGCCGATCTCACCGACACAGAGCTGGCGCTGAAGGACGTCTGGCTCTCGGTCATCTCCAAGGACATCGCCGGCGTGGTGAACATCGACGCCGACTCCGACTTCTTCCATATCGGCGGCAACTCCCTCCTGCTGGTCAAGCTGCAGGCGCGCATCCGCGAAGTCTTCGACGTGGCTGTGCCGCTGCTCAAGCTCTTCGAGTCGACCGCCCTGCGCGCGATGGCAGCTAGAATCGCCGAGGCTACCAACGTGCTGACCATCGACTGGGACGAGGAGACCGCCCTGCAAGGTGACTTGACCCAGACCGCGGATGAGACAACGAAGAAGGATGCCAGCACCTCCGGAACGACAGTCCTTCTCACCGGCGCGACCGGCTTCCTGGGACGAAACATCCTTCGCAAGCTCGTGGAGGACGACCGGGTGTCGAAGATCCACTGCGTTGCGGTGCGACAGTCTTCGTCTGACAACCAGCCTCGCGAACTGCCCGTTCAATCGCCCAAGATCGTCGCCCATCCAGGCGATCTGACCGAGCCGCTGCTGGGTCTGTCGCCCGAGGCCTTCGCGGAGCTGTCTGCTGAAGTGGACGTGATCATCCACAGCGGCGCCAACCGCTCGTTCTGGGACGCCTACCAACTCCTGCGCCCGCAGAACGTCTCAGCGACGAAAGAGGTCGTCCGGCTGGCCCACGGCCGCAAGATCCCCGTGCACTTCATCTCCAGCGGCGGTGTCCTTCAGTTGGCAGGCGAGGATGCGCAGACAAACAACGGCTCCGTCTCGGCCTTCAAGCCCCCCGTCGACGGATCGATGGGCTACGTCGCCACGAAATGGGCCAGCGAGGTGTATCTGGAGAACGCGGCGCGCAGCCTCGGTGTTCCAGTACACATCCACCGAGTGACAAGACCAGAAGACCCGACGCGGTCGCCGCGGCCCGAGCTGGTGCAGGAATTCGCCGACATGGCTGCTCGGCTGAAGGCTCTGCCGATGGAGGCAGGCTGGAGCGGAAACTTCGATCTCATTCCTGTCGGGCCGTTGGCGAAGGAGATTTGCGATGCTGCTGTCGACAGCGTCGTCGACGAGTCCGCCGAGCCCAGATTTATTCACCACGCCAGCGAGGTCACTCTCCACATGGACGATGTCCGCAAGCACATGGATGCTGCTGCCAAGGTCGGAGGAGGAGAGCTGCAGTCGTTTGAGCGCCTCTTGCCGCACAAGTGGGTTGGTCTGGCCAAGGCGGAGGGTATCAGCTGGCACTTTGCGTCGC